TCTCGTCGCTACCTTCATCATGCCCTCCCTCTTGATTTTGAATTGGTTTACATTGTAACACTCCCAACACCTTGTCCTGTGCTGTGTCCACGATATCTATTTCATCTTACCTTGACCACTGTCAGATATTTAGCATTCACTTTGGAATACATACCACATATCACAATGTTTTGCTGGAATTCTTATCCATCGTCATCCTTGTCTAGCTTATTTCGAAAGAATTACCTATCTCAGTGGACCATACCTATTTTGTTGTGATGTTGTTGAGCGTGTATTCTTGCTCTGTTTTCTCTCTGTCTTTCTGGTGACGCAAAACATCAAATGCATCTTTCCAATATTTGTTCACTTTGGTTGCAAGGGATGTTTTGCTGGAATTCTTGAAATCGAGCAGTTGCAACTCCGGATTGTCACGGTTTTCGCTTAACTGGCCGACTTGAATTATCTCCAACTTGTTAACTTGTGAGTGCTAATTCTCCCCGTCATAACCTAGTTCACATCTTGATACTGCTTGTTGTGTGGACCCTGGAGGATATATTCAATGGCTTCGCATGCTTCACACGATCGCCTAACCAACCGTTGGCTCCCTCGCCCTAATACAGTTCAGCCGTGATTATGTTTTTGCCTGACCTTGTAATACTCACTGTCTTGCTTTCAACTTCAGGAGTCTCGGTCGTGTTGATATACATTTACTCCCTAAATAGTGGACTTCGTGATCATCTCCATCGTGCGTGTCCCAATCACAATGACTCAAAGGATTTCTGGCATTCGGTTTTCTGCTTTGGACCGCTATCTCCTCTATCCAGCTGACTTACTGGGTTTCATCTACTTCTCTCTGTACCATCCACTGAATTGCACGTTTCTACCGTGCAGAGGATATGGTAGCCCTCTCACCAAGCGCCGAGTTACCAAACTTAGCTCGGTAATCAACTTATGGCATTAGAAGCAGTTTGGTCTGCGTACTGATTACAGAAGAGTAGTAGGGGGAGTTGAATAGTATAGGTAGCAATTCATCACATCTACACTCAGTCAGATAGCCATCACATGCCCGGAAAAGCATTGCACAACTGTTTTATGCTTTCGGGAATCGTCAGCATTGGGGCTAGGACCCGGTCGTTACCGTCCTGTATACTGGTTACTGTCGGATTGTGGGTTCTATTTGCCCCGGGGCCAGATGAAGTGCACACTGCTCTCGATTCCAGAATGAATGAAACAGGCATACAATATATTCCCCGGCTGACCGAGTTCAGATGTGTTGCAATTCCATTAAGGCTATTTCTGTTTTGCTCGATGTTTGCCCAATCTCGTAAACCTTTCCATTGCTTCTGTTTTTTGTAATCGCAGTGGTGACGTGGGTGATCACAGTCGGATCCACTTCATTTCGATTCATCCGGTTTGCATTTTGTCGAATGCTACTAACACCAGGTGATTCCGTTCTTTTATTTCGGTCACGTGGAAAAGCGCACCATTGTTAAGTGAAGATCGAGTTCATTTTCAAATAGGTCACTGCCTACTCATGTGAAACGGCCAACTATTCAGAGGTCACTTCATAACCACCTGCTGAGCACAATTTGTGTGCACGATGTGCAGAGTTGATTGACCACATTTGACCCGTTGGCTGTGCCTTGCTTCAACCGTCATTAGGTTAATCCAAGCTGCCGTGTTGTCGACACATGGACTCGTATACGGGTCTGCAGGAAACCCTTCACCAAATTCACTGCAATAAGTGAGACGGTTCGAGACTTCTACTTCAACTTTGTGATCGACAGGGTTTTGACTGAATCTGTCTTCTGCTTCTCTTGGATTAAGTTCTGCCTGATAGCTATCCCTAAAGCTTACTGCATTCGACGATCAGGTGGCGCCTCTGTGCAGGCGCTTTTAACTGGCGTACTGCAAAGCACCGCCCCTTTCACGATAAACGGTTACACACTGAAACTGATTCACCAATATAGGAATTGGTGTCATCTCTTTTGTGCAGATCGCGGGAGAAATTAACGACTGAATACACTTCCCGATCATGGAGTGATCACTTGTACATATTTGTGACCTTGACCTTCTTACATGTCCCGACACGTCCTGATTATGTTTGAACTCATTACTTGTTCCGATTCCACGGATAGCATTTTCGAATTCGCACGCCTAGGAACAACATGAATATTACCTTATTTAGCTGCCGCATAGTGAAAGTGTGTTGTGTTGAACATTGCACCTATTACATAACCTACGAAGACATTTGATTCTTGGGTCCGATGCTTTGGACTGCACACAGCAAAACTGTAGGGTAGTTTTCAGTTCGGATAAGCAACCGAGCATGATCCCTTTGTGATGTGTTCGGGACTGATTTGGCTCATACTCTCCTCATTGAATACATGTCGTCAGAGTCTATGTTTTGCCCCACGTTTGAGCCTGGAGTCTTTTGGGACTTAGGGTACGTTACTAGTCTGCCAACCGACCAATCCTTTTACTGTACTCGAATGAAAATCGCAGATAAATGTCCATAGAAAGAGTAGAACAAGCAAACGATATTCAGGTGAATAATAACCACAGTTCTGTCCTTTCTATACTGTTGGAGGTACGGATATATTCACAATTATCGCCGATACTGTGTTCTAGATTTCGCAGTGAACGATCTAAACGTGATGTAGGCACTTATGGTAACAGGCTTTGTTCCCATAATTGCGCTGCTGGAACCAGTTGGGTGTGTATCCCCATAGCTTGTCTTCGGCTGTTCAGATGTCTTCGAATATCTGTACTCCGGCACTTCATAACCATCCTTCTAGAAGAGGTGGAATTATGTAATGTTGCTGTTCGCTACCCCACTATCCGCTGCTAATCTGTCTGATGGACAAGGATGGGAACTTACAGCGAGCTTTCTATGAATTGATCGATTAGAGGCTGATCTATAACTAATGGCAAGCGTTTCCTCTTAGGTTTTTAGGGTTACCTGTGTTCTTGTTGTGATGATCTTAGATTTGTAGCAAGAATACAAGTTTTGTTCGGGTGCTACGCAACGAAGGCGTATCCAGTCTGACCACTCCAAGGGAGGGTATGAGATGGAATTGTTTGCCTGTGCGCTTTTGTGTGTATAAATCTTGAGCAGACAGGCCCATCCTGACTTCCGGTTCGGGTGTGTCCCGCTAAATCTTACATGGGGTGAGTTGTCAAGGTCTGAAACCGATTTTCGCTTGTCGCAATGTGGCGCATTTTCGTCGTGATGATAATACGCATTGCACTCGTAGGTGCAATTGGGTTGTTTCTTCAAATCCACACCAATCCCCCCGCTCACAGTTTCCGTCTAACTAGAAAACGCAGTGTTTCGACAGACTGACCTAAAAACAATTTGCCCTGCTGACGAACCCAAACGGATCGAAACGGTCGTTTAGTTTGGTCGATTTGACACATAAAACCTGCTTGATATAACGTTTGATGAGGTTCGTACTGTAATCCACCTAGCTGAATGTCAACCAGAGACAAGTGATTCTTGATCGTCACCCTTTCTTCTGCTGACCAAGCATGATCTCAATTCTTCTGTCCAGGTTCTTCGAATACGCGCTTGTCGTCCATAGAATAACTCCACGCTTCACAGAGCGAGTGTCTCCTTCCAGTATCAATGTATCCGTCACCTTCAGATTTGAGATGAGGATGGAGTTTGGCTATTTTCACTCAAGCACCTAGACAAGCTTTAAAACAGTTAGTTCACTTTAGCAATTTGAACAACACGGTAAGAAGACGAAACCTGGTGGATGCATGCATTTCCTATTGGCTCGTCAGTTCTATTAACAATAACTGATGTGCAACTATATAAATAACAACGGATGTGTGACCAAACAAGCTTGACGTGCAAGATGAGTGACACAAGTTTCACCCCAATGTCCATGACCGTTTTAATAGCACAAATAATTTTTTTTGAACACAGCTGGCTTCATCCGGCTTATTGCCACAACCTCGACGAAAAGGGGGAAGCGAGGACGTAACACGATTGTGAACGCTGATCCGAGCTGTATCCAGTGACGCGTGACTAGGAGGTGTCTACCTGTTTAGGGAGCCGGCGGTGTGCGCGAGCATGAAGACTCAGGGGAGCAGGGATGCCATTCAATTTCACGTCGAACTCACCTCGGCATGTATTTTTTATTCGTGAAGTCAAAGACCGATTAGTTCTACCTACGTAACTGATCCGCAAATACACACGAATTGGTCTATGCAGGGTCATTTGGCCCGATCTGCTGAGCTTCCTTCGTCGGAGGAACAGCTAATTTAAGATTTCGGGTAATGACACCACTTCAGTAGCATGTTAACTTCAATGCGTAGCAAA